GCTTCACACAGTATGTTCTTTGGATCACCTTCAAGAATTAGAGTTTCTGCTTTGATCTAAACATGAAACATAAATTTACTAAACAAAATGAGTCAAAATTGAGAAAAAGGAACAAAAGGGAACATTCCCTTAAATTGTGCATGCATGTCGACTTGTGGTAGCATAATATGTAGAGCACAATGTATCATCGAAATTGACGAACACTTTTCGCCTGAAATGTCAAATATATATATATACACACACTCTTTTTCACCCGTGTTTGTCAAATTTTATTGAATAAAACTTTTTCTAAATGAAAAAATGCCATAATAACTTATGAAAGTTTAAAGGATAGATTAGAGAAATAACCAACCATTTTGTCTTTGCACATTTCAGAGGCACGCGCCAGTATTCGTGCCGCCTCTTGCGCTTGCGCCCGAGTTGCTGATTCTATCACTATTGCCCAAACACAAAAATACATCAACAAGTTAGGAAGCCTAAAATCGTCGTTTTATTCATGGCATGAAGCAACTTGCAGTATGGCTCCAGCTTATCAAATACGTTCGGAAAAAAAACTATTTCACTTGAATTCATTTATTTTTCTTCAATCGACAAGCCTATGGTCGAAAATCAAAATATTATTTGTTAACGAGTCTGTCTCTTTGTTATTTTCTCGAAATGAAAATAGCCAACCGTTAGTTTGGAGAAAGGGAGTACAGACCATGAGTACCAGGATAGGCGTATTGAGGGAATGGCTCCATTACATGTACAAGACTGAGCTTTATACAAGGCTCCTTCACCTCCTCCGTTGTATGATATGGCTGCCTGAGGAGATAATCAAGGATCCATTTTAGAGCGTTGAAGCTCTCTTCACTATTGTCAATCGCCACTAGCACTCTCATCTTCTTCTTTTCTTATTTCTTAATTTTGGTTTGAGTGCATCAGTTTCTTTGGATATACAAGCCCGTTTGGACATAAGAATTTTTTATTCTTTTCCGATCTTTTTTTCTTTAAATTAGTTTGTCCATACAACTTTCAATTTTTATGAATTTTAAAATTGTTTGAAACTTTAAAATATTTTTAAAAATTATTTTTAAATTTTTTTACTTAGATCATTCGTAAAACTTCAAAAACAATTATATTTATATTTAAATACAATTTTATTTTTTAAATATTATTTTTATTTAATTTTTTTAATTTTTTTAGAATTTTATAATTCTTATGTCCAAACGCCCATATAGATTGACAACCTCTTGACGTTTCTGGTAAGCTATTTTGGAATTTACCTTTGGATTTTGCACTAGAGTGTTCTACGACTTCAAGGCAACGACTCCTGTTCACTCAGTTCGTTCCGAAAATATTACGCCGCCTTCCCTTCCGTTTATATGATTCAGGACCGATACTATTGTTGATAGTAAAGACGAAAATAAATTTTTATTTTATATCAGGTAACGTGATATATTTTTAAGCTTATAAATTTCATATTTTTTTAGAGGCTTGCATGTAGATATTTGATGGTAATTTAATATTCTTTTTATTTTAATTTATACGAATTTATTTCTTTTTTGGTCCGTACAAAAAGAATGATTCTTTTCTTTATTTGAAAATAATTTAATGATTCTTTTCCTTATTTGAAAATAATTTACCTTAATGCAATTATTTATAGCCACACAAAATATATGCACCTCATTTTATACCACAAATTCAAAAGTCTTCTCTCTTTTTATAAACTCTTTGACCAGTCAGAAACGGATGGAATAATATTTTTTATATTGCCATATATAAAACTTAATAAATTCAAATTTAATTTATGTATCAAGAGTCTTTTTTATTTATTAAATTATGCACCAATCAGTTACAGATTCGATTTGTAGAATCAGCTATTGATGTTTGTATGAGTGCGAGGTGTTTGCGTGAACACATGAATTAACCTACACTATATTTTTTGGAATGTAATTTTTTTTCGTATTCTACATGAACGCAAGATGATTTGTGGAGCAAGCTGCCCCTTTTGTTATGCATCAATCACTATTGCCACATAAAATAAAAAGGAAAAAATACTACTTTTCTTATAGCAACCTAAATTGTGTAATATTTGCAGACGTATTTTTCTTTCTTTTTTTTTTTTCATAGGACAAAGGGATTTCATTCCAAATGAAACAATGTAATAGTTAAATGTTTGGATTATTTTATGTATTGTTACTGAATTTTCCTCCTAAAAAATAAAAATATAAAATTATTTTTTCATATTAAAGTAATTACATTTTACCTCTATAACCGTTAAACTACAAAACTTTATGCACAAATTAATTTTTTTTAGAATCTATTATTATTATATATATATTTTTAGTGAGGATAAGCAAGGAGTTGATGGTCAACATGCCTGCTTGGGATATTAAGGGTAATTTAGTCATTGCAGTGAAAATGGAGCAATATAATTGGTCAAAAGGAATTCTATTGTAGTCCCTCACGAGGACAGCACGTCCTGGCCCCACCCAAACTTTCTGACCTCTGCTTTACACATTTGTCAAGGCAATTGCACCCCTTAACATACTAGGAGTACTATTATTTATGGGTCCCACTTGCTCATGCCCATTGTTTGCTACTTAGAGCATCGGCTCATCATTTTACAACCACGACTTTTGAATGGGAGAATTAGTGGGCGTTTGGACATAAGAAATGTAAAATTAAAAAAAAATCAATTTTTTTTTAAGTGAAAACGATATTTGAAAATTAGAATTGTATTTGGACATAAATATATTTTGAGTTGCTTTTGAAGTTTCGTGAGTGATATGAGCGAAAATTTTAAAAAATGATTTTTTGAAATTTTTCAAATTTTCGAAAATTTTTAAAATTCAACTTTAAGTGAAAATTAAAAAATTTATGGTCAAACACTGATTTCGAAAAAAAGTGAAAAAAATTCATTTTTTTTATGTCGAGACGGGCTCTTAATTCCTCGACATTAAATTAGATGATTACATTAAATTAATTTTGTTTGTCATGCTCAGGTGATTCAATGAATAAAATATAAGATATTAATTATAAATAAGTGGTAGTTATGTATTCAAATATATCTATTATAATAACAAATAAATAAAGAGCTCAATAAAAACAAAAACTTTGAATATAAAAAAATAAAATAAAAAATTCCCAATATTCCAATACTAAAGAAAGATAATAATTGTATTAAGAGAAAATAAGGAAATCCCAACGACAGCAATGTTAAACATGTTCTTCTTTAAATATCTCATTTAGCTAATGTTTATAGGATTTATGGTCAAAATTTATGTATCAAGTAGATTTAATTTTTAAAGGTAAAATTGGTCATTTCGAAAGCTAATTTGAATTCAAGTTTAGAATTTTTTCTTGACAATACAATAAATTAAAAATGACAAATTACATAATAAGGAGTATATATTATCACGTAATGCTTAAGTTTTCTAAATGTATTTTAATTTTTTTTGTTGCTGATAAAGGCTTACAACATATATTAAAGCATACAAGTACAAGTAGGGGTAATATCGATCGGTTTAGCTCTACTATGATATTATCGGTTCAACGTACCATTTATCGGTTTATAAATATGTTAAACTGATAATCGACTCGATAACCGAATCTATAAGATATCAGTTATCAAGTGTCAATTTGCCTAATAAAAATTGAAAATTCCAAAAATATTTTATTTTTATTATAGATATTGTGATCATACTATAACCTAAATTTTTATTCTTAAAAAAAGAAAGATTAAATTTCAATTTTAGAAAATAAAACTTTCTTTGCAGGTGAAAATCCAAAAAAAATGATCTCGTTTCTCATAGTCATAAAACGTATTCTCTCTTTTTCATTTAGTTAGACGCTACTTTCTTGCTAATTATTTTTAAAAACATTTTACATCTAAAGGAAATTTAACCTTGTAATATAACTTAAAAATTTAAAAAGACGTAATTTAAAATCTTTTTTAGACCTGGAAGTATATTGGGTATTTGTTTAACCAAAAACACTTCTTTGGTCAAAGCTAGAAAGAAATTCGGGTTACTGATAATCAGGAGATGAAAATAAAATATTTTTGAGAATGATGGTAAAACAGTAAATAGTTTTGTATTTCAGTAAGATCTCAATAGTATTTCGTGTCCTTACAGATGTTGAGTCTTTCCCCTTTTATAGTTGATTCTAGGAGAAGATATAATGCCTTTGTCTTAATGAGACAATTATGAGCAATAAATGATATTTATAAGAAATGTTACACAATCATTTCTATTTAATTCAGATTCTCTAACGTATTTGACATTTAATGTTGTATTTAGACTCTTTTACGTCATCAGATTCGTGTCTTCAACTTCTTCTGATCTTTGATCTTTAAACGACTCGAATAGGTACGAGACTCGTACCTATTTTAGTAACGGTCCACACCTATGTTGCTTTCTTTCCCCCCTATCTGTTGTCGCCCGTGCTTCTTGGCTATTTATTGCTTTTTGACCTTTTGACCAGTCCACGTGTCATGATACGTCATCTTCAATATTCAGACTCAGTTTTTTCTCAATACAGATAGTCCCCCCACTTTCCATTTATTTATCCATTAAATATTTGGGAAGTGGACCTTCATAAAAAAGGATTTTTTTGTTGTAATCAATGCTATAACAGTACTGACGCCCCAGTTGTCTTTTCTATTTAATGCTCTGCACACGTGTCACCTTCCGATTGGTTTTGTAATTCTGCAGCCTTTTTCCAAGGTTTATTCATCCCTTATATTCACGAAGCGATAGTTGCCTTTATTATAGGCTTTCCATCATTGCACTTCTTTGCTTGACAGTTGCTATTATATACATATATATCCTTTTTCCCTTTGTCCTTTTCTTCATAAACCCTTAACAGATCCTTTACTACTCCTTTCTCCTTGAGTTCATCCTTTTCTCTACAATGGCATCTCTGAATCCTAACCCTAAAAGAATTCCAATTCTTGATAGCTTCCCCAATGCCCCTGTGAGACATAGAAGAGAAAGAGGGGGCAGACTTCGTAGCCTAGGATCCGTTCGTGGTGGTGCCTCTGGTTCTGTCATGCCTTCTTCTAGCTCCGGTACTATTTCCAGAGGTTCTATCACTAAGAAATCTTCCTCTAAAGGTAAAGAACTTCCTGAGCCTCTTCAAGAGCCTTTAGTTGAGGAAATAGTACCCAACGACCTATCTTTTGAGAATGATAGGAAATCTCTTCGTGAGCAAGTTGTCAATTTAGAGAAAGCTGACACTTTTCCTTCTTTAATCACTGAACCTTTGGTTTCTATTGTTCGAAAAGATTGCAACTGGAGAAGTGATTTTCGTATAGTAATCCCTAATCCAAATCAAAGAATATCTTCTTTTAGGATTGGATTTTCTTTTGTTTATACTTACCCCTTCACTTTGGGATTTATTCCTGCTATTGACCCAGTCATACTTGATTTCTGTCGTTTTTTCAAAATTTGTTTGGGACAAATTGGTCCCCTTGTATGGAGAACAGTGGCTTGTTTGAGGTATTTATCTGTTAAAGCCGGTGTTGATTTTTCCTTTCCCCACCTTATTCATCTTTACCACCCCAAGTTATTTCGCAATGGAGTTTTTACTCTAACTGCAAGAAGTAAAAGGGTCTTAGTAAGCCCTGAAGATGACAAGGACCGCGGGTGGTACACTCGTTATGTTGCGGTACGCACAGTTGATTTGGTGGGTGAAACAAATATCCCCTTCCCTGAGAAGTGGAACTTTGCACGTAAGTTTTTTTTTTACTTACCGTTCTTACCTCTTAAGAATTTCAACTTCTTTTCTAATTTCATCCTTTTTTGCTTTTCTATAGCAACCATGGGAGATGTGGAACCCGTTCCTAATTTCCGTGGTTGGGTAGATTTAATCATGAAAGTCGTGCCTATGGAGGCGAGAACGTGGAAATCCATTTCCAATTTACATGGTTGGAAAGTGAAAACTCACGGTATGC